AGCTGGCGCGCCCAACGGCGCGCGGGCGAGGAGGGGGAGACAAATGGGCGTCGAAAGCCCCGCAAAATTCCGACTGCCCCCGTGGTAGGATGCGCGAAATGGCCTTGCAGTTTCGAACAGAACGGGAAGCAGAGTTGCGGAGACGCGCCCCTGGGAAAGGCCTCCTTTGCAATGACCAGCCACCCGTCGCTGTCAGTCAACGACATCTCATCTACCATGGCGACGCGATACCATTGCAGATGCGGAGAGATGGTGGGCGGGGTATGATGCATATTGTGCAGCATGCGCACGGCGTAGAGACGGGTCGCGGTCAGTGGTGGGGCGGGGGGGGATGGGGCCATCGTGCAAGGTATTGCCCGAATAATTAACAAGGCACATGGGGGTGCACGATCGCGCCCTTCGACCATGCTCGGATCCCACAGCTGATCTGGCCCAGCGGCGGCATAGGTGCGCAGTGTTGCGCACTAGCGGGGTTTTCCTTTCGGAGTGCGTAGCGCGGGGGGGGGGGGGGGGGGCGGGGCGCCCATAGCCTTCGCGGGCGGCGGCCAGCTATGTCCCTGCGAGCGTTGCAACGAGGGGTTCGGGTACTACGTGGTGGTCGAAAGCCACAGTGGGCGCGCCAGAAATGAACCTGGCCATGAAAAAGACCCAGGGGGGCAACGGCAGCCAATGGAAGGGGGCGCATCGATTGTGGGCTGGGGCGGGGGCATCAGGAGTAGGAAGAATGGAGTGATGAAGGAAAGGCGCTGCATGGAGGATGGAAGCATGTTTCGAGAGAGCACGTCTGCCGATACCATAAGAGGAAAGCCAAGGGGGCCGCGCGGGCAGCCCAAGCCTTAGGACAGATCGAGGCAGCGCAAGCGCTTGTGGCGGAAGAAGAAGGCCCAACGAATCAATCCTCGCACTGCAAGGAACAAGTTGGCCCTGGAGAGGTCGAAGCAGATGATAAAAATAGCGGGGTCAATCAGCGTGGACGTTGAACGCCCCGCAAAACTCTAACGTTTGCCCCCGATGGTAGGATATACGAAATGGCCTTGCAGTTTCGAACAGAGAGGGGGGCAGAGTTGCGGAGAAATGCCTTGGGGAAAGGCCTCTTTGGCAACGACCAGCCCGCCCGTCCCTGCCAGTCAACGACATCGCATCTACCATGGCGACACGATACTTATCTTCTTCCCCATGCCATTGCAGATGCGGAGGGATGGTGGGCGGGGTAGTATGCCCATTGTGCAGTATGCGCACGGCGTAGGGACGGGTCGCGGTCAGCGGGGGGAAATGGGGCCATCGTGCAAGGTATTGCGGGAATAACAGGGCAGATGGGGATGCACGGTCACGCCCTTCGATCATACTCGGATCCCACAGCTGATCTGGCCCAGCGGCGGCGTAGGTGCGCAGTGTTGCGCGCTGGCGGGGCTTTCCTCTCGGAGTGCGTTACGCGGGGGGGGCCGCGCATGGCCTTCGCGGGCGGCGGCCAGCTATGTCCCTGCGAGCGTTGCAACAAGGGGTTCGGGCACTGCGCGGTGGTCGAGAGCCGCAGTGGGCGCGCCAGAAATGAACCTGGCCATGAAAAAGACCAAGGGGGCAAAGCCAGTCAATGGAAGGGAGTGCATCGATTGTGGGCTGGGGCGGGGGCAGCAGGAGTAGGAGACATGGAGCGACGAAGGGAAGATCTTGCATGGGGGAGGGAAGTACATGTCGAGAGAGCACGTCTGCCGATACCATAAGAGGAAAGCAAAGGGGGCTTGGTGGGCAGCCCAAGCCTTAGGACAGATCGAAGCAGCGCAAGCGCTCGTGGCGGAAGATGAAGGCCCAACGAACGAATCCTCGCACTGCAAGGAACAAGTTGGCCGTGGAGAGGTCGAAGGAGATGACAGGTGGAGGGCATCAATATGAATGGGGGGCATCTTTGCAGCCGTTAGCAAACCAGGAGAAAGCATGACAGAGGTTCTGCGCCGCGCGGAAGAATGCGACATCCTGCTCAACGTGGACATGGCCATGGACATCAATGCTGAACATGCACTGAAGGCGGCAAACCAGGAGTTGGAGGAGAAAGGGAGAGAGCTGCACGGGATGGTCAACTAGACGACGGCGAAGAACACGGGAGATAGATAGTCGGCGCACATCATGGCGCTGGACTTCGTGGGCAAGTGGAGGGACGGCGTTCGGTTGTTTCACGCGGGCAGGAGGGGCGCAGGACGGGGCGCAAAGAGGGGCGGAGCCCGCTCGCGCGAGCTTGCCTTGCCAAGCAAGTTGCGGCGGAGCGGCCTTAGTCCTTAGTCGACAAGGGGGCAAGTGGCAGTTCTGGTGCAAGGTGGGCTGGTCGCGGCCCGTCACGGCGCAGGAGAGCCACCCCGAATATGAGCTGATAGTAGAGGGGGTGGACAAGATGAAGGGCGCGTTCGGCGATGGCTGCGAGAGGTGGCCAGACGTCGGGTGCACGTGGAAGTTCCTCCCGTGCAAGAATGGAGAGTGGGCTGCCAGTGGCGGTGGGGCTCAAGGTGGGAAATAGATGGGGGGCGCCCGTGCCCGAAAGGCTGCCGCGGCAGCTAGGCGACGCCATCAAGGAGTGCCACTACCAGTTCTACGACGCCGCCCCGGAAACGAGCCCATATGAGTTGTTTCGAGCAGTCCTCCGCGCCCTTCCCGATGGCGCACGCGGTCAAAGGATGCGATCTCATCGCTGGGCACCCTGTGGACGCGCGGGAAAGGGCAGGGGGGGGGGGCCCTTGCTGCGCAGAGCCGGCGAGAGCTGGCGCTGATGGTTTCGAAGAACGACGGAGAGAGCCCCCGCAAAGTTGCGGGCGTCGCCTTGGCGGGGCTGAGCAACGAGGACAAGCTCGACCCAGAGGAAGTTGGGGGGCTCGAAGAGCGCCAGAAACTACGAGACAGCGCGCAATCCCTGCTGGACGGCATTGAGATCTTCGAGGAAAAGTTCGGATAACCCAAGTGGGAGGAGACGACGACGGCCAGCTCGTCCAGCGGCCACCAGCGAGGGCACCCACTGGAGCCCGCTGGAAAGCCAAGAGATGCATTGGCGAGGCTTTCTCGGAGCGCTACTCTGGGCAAGCTGGGCGAGCTCACAGGCAGCCAAGATATGCATTAGCGAGGTTTTCGCGGAGTGCCATTCTCGGCAAACAGGATGGGCAATCATGGAGCGCTCGCGCTGTCATCGCAATGGGGACTATTTATCGAGTTCCGACAGGTGCACTGCTGCAGGGTCTTGAATGGGGGAAAAAGGTACTCATCACGCAGTACACCAGTGTACTTCCTCGATGGCCCCACCTACGACATACCGCGACCGCCAGTGTGCTCTACCCCACGTACACTTCGAGGGCGAGCAGTCGGATACTGCAACTGTGTATCAGAGTCCAGCTGCGACAATGCATGGGGCAACTATCGGCCATATCGAGGTGAAAACAATGAGCCGAGCGGGAAAGGAGATAATCTGATAACACCAGTCGGGCGACCAGGCCCCTCGGCAGCAGTTTGGGAACGCGGGCCTCCCGACCCTCCCCCCTCCTCCTTTCGGAGTTGTCGTGTCGTTGTATCCTCCCCCCTTGCTTGCGCGCGCTGCTAAGCCCGCGCGCCCCCTCCCCTAGGGCACGCGGAAGGACCGGCAGCTGCTCCCCCCGCGTTGACCCGCAGGGGTTCGTAATCGTAAGGTAGCGGGCCTCTCTTACGGGGCCACCTCGGAGTTCACCCCTCGAGCAACATCGTGGCATGCCCCTGCCGGTCCTAGAGGGGGGCAGGGCCGTTGCACCACCAATCGCAATGGATTTTGTCAGAAACGCGCAAGGCACCAGCGTAGGTGTTTTGACGTTGAACCCCCTTTTATGCGGATGTCCTGTCCTGTCCTCCTCCTCGTCCTCCTCTTGTTCCACTTCCTCCTCCTCCTCCTCCTCCTCCTTCTCATTGTTTCCCCTCCTCTTCCTCCTCCTCCTTTTCCTTTTCCGTATACTGCTCCTCCTCCTCCTCCTCCTGCTGCTGCTCCTCCTCCTCCTCCTCATCATCATCATCGTCATCATCAACCTCCTCCTCCCCCACGCGCGCCACCTGGCATTCCCTGCTTCGGCGACAGCTCGTGGGAGCCATGCGCATTCTCGCATGTCCGCCTTTGGGGCGCGCCAGCGCGAGGCAAGCGATCGATCGGACAGCCGCGATCCAGCGCCGTTCGGCGTCGATTAGCGTCGATCCGCGTCCACTGGCGTCGGCTCGCGTCGATTGGCGTCGGTGAGCGCTGATTCGCACGAGCCAGGGAGATGACACGGAGGGCGCCCGCGAATTGCCACACGCATGTCTTGCCGCTTCTGTGCACGGCAGGTTCCTGCCCCAGACGTGCGCGCGCCATGAAACAGCCATGGCGGCGGGCTTCTCGCCGTTTCGCGGCCTCTGGGACGGGGGTTCAACCAGGCCCCAGGAGTGTAAAACGGTTCGGGATCAAAAAACCGGTCCCGTGGGAAAGGATCGGGGCTTCCAGGTGATAGTTGTTTTGATCGTTTTTTTATGTATTGTTTTGTCGATCGGCCCAGGCCTTCGCATCCCCCACCCTCCCTTCCTTGGAGTAGATTTTGGCAGTTGTTGGCGCTTGTTTCGAGCAGGTTGAGGTTCCCCCATAGGACGCACGGTTCCAAACAGTCGCACGGTTTAGAGGGTCAAAGCCGGCCCCCCCCCTCCCCCCCCTTCCGCCCAGTGTCGAAACGCCGAATAAACAAACGTTCGCCAGGTGCGGCGTTTTGAAAGCATCAGGGCGTCGCATGTGTGGGATCGTGTCGACGGGGCGGCGACTTTGCCGCGCGGCGTTCCAAGGTTGAGCGCCCCCTGGTGACCCAGAGTTGGCCCATGCGGAACGACCTGGCGATCGAAAAGCCGCCGACCCTTAAGAGTTTGAACGATGCGCGCTTTATCAGGAGCCAACGCCGGGATCGTCGCGGCACCCACCTGCCGTGCATGGACGTCGCGTGTTAGTGCCCTCCGCCGCTTCTTTTTGCGGTTCCTCCTTCCGCAGCCACGCGGGCCCAGGAACGCTCTCTTAGTTGGGTTTCTAAGAGTCGGCTCCGTCGCGTGCAGCCAGTGCGCCTGATTGGATCGTGCTCTCTGCACAACAATCTACACTCTCGGTCCGACACTCTCGATCGGAACGTGCCCCTTTTCGCGCAGGTTGTAACTCCTTCGAGGTTGCCATAACACTCGGCCCTCGTGTAGTCTTTTGTACTCGATAGCAATGCTGTCTCGGCTGGGTCACTCTGGCCAAGCACGGCTCCATCTGGCCCAATCTGGTCTAGTCACTGGCCGAATCCGGCTTTGTCCTGTTCAGTTGCGCACCCCCCAGCACCGAGCAGCGCCCCCTCGCGCCCACAAGGAGAGAGTTGCGACCCGCGCCTCCCGCTCGCCATGCGATCGATCAGCCCGAGCCCCCTCGCATGCGGGGCGGTGTGCGCCCTGACCGCCCTCGCCTGGAGCGCGGCCTCCGCGCTCGCCGCCCGCGGCGCGCTCCCCGGCAGCCAGCACGGCGACGTCCTCGTCCTCCTGGTCTGCGCCGCGGCCTACCTCGTCGGCACCGCCGGCCCGGCCGACCGCCAGAGGCCGCGCGCCGCGCGCGCCGCCGAGCCCGCGGGCGCGGAGGATCGGGGGCGGCAAAGAGGGGGGTGATGACTAGGGGGGGGATCTCATGGCGGGGGCCATGAGATCTCCCCAGATCCCATGGCCGCTGGCCCCGAGTTGCCCCCCCCCCCCCCCTCTTGGACGCCCCCCTCGTGGCCGCGCCCGAGAGGAGGTCCTGGAGCGCTTCGGCGAGCTGGTGCAGCGCGGGTGCCTGCCCGACCGAGTGGCCCTGAACCGGGCGCTGGATGCCTGCTCGAAGCTCGGCAGGGTCGCCCAGGCTGCACGGGCCAGGAAGCTGGGCGGGCATCCGGACGAGGTTAATCAGGAGGGGAAGAAACACACAGACACAATTAATCTTCGATTTCCTGGAAAATATGGGAACATATGGGAAGTGGGGGGGAAGACAAAAACCCAGAAAGTATAGGAAAATATGGGGAATCCTTTTATTTGAGTGTATTTATTTGTGTGTCCTGGGGCCCCTTCAAAAAAGCCAGACGGGGCACGTGAGGCACGCTGCTTCCGTGCCTATAGATGCCAGGACGCTTCCCCGAGGCGCCCGACGGTGCCTGCCAGCTCGCTCCCCCGGGGCGCCCGAAGGCACCCTCCAGGGCGCTCCCCGGGGCAGCCCGAAGGTACTCCAGATTTCGCAGCGGGCAGACCCTGCCGCCCAGGAGGAGGAGGAGGAGGAGGAGGAGGAGGAGGAGGAGGAGGAGGAGGAGGAGGAGGAGGAGGAGGAGGAGGAGGAGGAGGAGGAGGAGGAGGAGGAGGAGAGGAGGAAGGAGGAGGAGGAGGAGGAGGAGGAGGAGGAGGAGGAGGAGGAGGAGGAGGAGGAGGAGGAGGAGGAGGAGGAGGAGGAGGAGGAGGAGGAGGAGGAGGAGAGGAGGAGGAGGGGGAGGGGGAGGGGGAGGGGGAGGGGGAGGGGGAGGGGGAGGGGGAAGGAGGAGGAGGAGGAGGAGGAGGAGGAGGAGGAGGCGACGAGAGGGGCTCATAGCAATCAGAGGGGCGGGCAATCAGAGGCGAACAGCCCAGGGGGGAGCAATGCACGTACTCCAGAAAAGGGAGGGGGGTGCCATTTCGGGGGGGGGGCTCTTCCAGGCTATCTTGGCGGGCCTGGGGGGTCAGGGGACGATGTTTTGGAGGGTTCTCCCATGGAGAAGGTCTGAAATGGCTTGTCTTGGAGGGTCCAGGCCCCCTCCCTTTTATTACGAAATCTGGAGTACCCGTAGGGACGGTTTCCTGAGCAGCGCCAGGACGCTCGCCTGAGCTCCCCGCGAGCGAACAAGAACACGTGCCGAGGCGCCTGGAGCCGCCCGGCGCCCAAGCCGGCAGCGTGCATCGGGCTGGTCTGCTCCGGACGGGGCCAGGACGAGGATGACGCCGTTCCAGAGCGTTCCGAGACGCCCTCGGAGCGTCCAGAGCGCTCTGAGAGGGCCGCGGGTCTTGACATTCTCCAGAACCGTCGGATCTCAGAAATTTCCGATTCATCCTCACCCGATGATATCATCGTCTTGGCTTGATCTTACGTTACTGCCCAAACTTTTTGGTTTAAAAAAAGATGACCCCCCCCTCCCCCCCCGGATCCTGAATGTCATCAGTACGCCGCAAGAGAAATATATGTTTAACTGTCCCTCTGGAAAAAAAGGTCCGACGGAGAGCGGACATAAGTGTGTAGTGTAAACATATCCGCGCACGCGCATGCATAACACATGCCGTTTTTTTGCGTGCGGATGTATAGGCTGCTCGGGGCGGCGAGTAAGTACTTATCGTCCTATTGGGACAGCACGTGCGTACGCTTCCCGCGCAGCATGGGCCATGGCGGCCGCGTGCGCGGCGGCCTTGCCCCTCACGCAGTGTTCATCTTTGTTCCCCAAGCAGTGTGCCAAGGCAGCCGCGCGCCGCGGCCCTCGCCCTTCGCGCATGGTGTGTGTTTCCCTCACAGTGAGTCCCCGCCCGCCTGTGCCCTGTCTCCCTAAGTAAAGCTGTGCGTAGCCCGCCTAGCTTTTAGCGGAAGAGAATCGCTCTCGCCCCGCCGACCAAAAGTGTTTTCCCGCACAGAAGGGGCCAAGCCCGCCGCGCGTGCGGCGGCCTTGTTCTCGCGCGCCACGCGGTTTCCCACGCAGAATGGACCAGGGCCGCCGCTCGCGCCCCGCGCGCTGTGCGTTTTCCCATGCAGAGTGGGCCGATGCCGCTGCGCGCGGCGGCCCGGGCCACTCTCGCATTTGGTGTGATGTTTTTCCATGCAAGATGCGCGTGGGCCGCCGCGCGCGCGGCGGCCCATGGCCCTTCGCGCATTGCGTTTCCCCTTGCAGGATTCGCGTGGACCGCCGCGCGCGGCGGCCCATGGTCCCTCGAGCATTGTGATTTATCATGCGGGGTGCGCGTGGGCTCCCGCGCGCGCGGCGGCCCATGCCTTTAGCGCGCGGTGTTTCCCATGCGAGATGCGCGTGGGCCTTTTTTTTTGTCCCATGCGAGTTGCGCGTGGGCCGCCGCGCACGCGGCGGCCCTTGCCCTTCGTGTTTTGTGTCGTTTGTTGTTTTGTGATGTTTTTGTTAGTTTTTGTTTTTGTGTCCATGCAAGATGCGCGTGGGCCGCCGCGTGCGCGGTGGCCCATCGCCTCTCGCGCGCTGCGTTTTTTCCATGCGAGATGCGCGTGGGCCGCCGCGCGCGCGGCGGCCCATCGCCCCTCGCGCGTTTATTTTTGTCCATGCGAGATGCGCGTGGGCCGCCGTGCGCGCGGCGGCCTTGGCCCCTCGCGCAATGTGTTTTTGCGTGCAAGATGCGGGTGGGCCGCCGTGCGCGCGGCGACCCATAGCCCTTCGCGCATGGTGTTTTTCCGTGCGAGATGCGCCTGGGCCGCCGCGCGCGCGAGGACGAAACGCAACACGTCGCGCGAACGCGCGCGTCGGCGCATTGTAGGCTGCGCCAAGGGACGAAAACGTAAAGACCGCATGTGACGTGGGAAATTCCATCGGCGGCCGCTACGGGTTCGCTTCTACTTCCTTGACCAGCATGGCGACCGTCCGACTGCGGGCAACAAAGAAGCGCCACGCGCGCTCGCGCGCGTCGGCGAAAAGTTGGCTGCACCACTATACGAAAACGCAGAGACCGCACGTTAATATTGAAACTCCAAGCAGCAAGCGCTAAGGGTTCACTTGGCTTCTCAGGCCAGCATGGCGGCTTTCCTGTTGCTGACGATCCAGAAACCGCCGCGCGCGCGTGTCTGTGCAGCGTAGGCTGCACCAATACACGAAGGCGTAAAGACTGCATGTGAAGTTGGAGAATTCAATCGGCAAGCGCTAAGGGTTCACGTCAATTCCAAGGCCAGCAAGGCGGCTTTGTCCGATTGCGGACAAGACAGGAACCGCCACGCGAACGCGCGCGTCGGCTCAGAAAGACCACCTGTTAAACTGGAAATCCAATCGGCAACGGCCGCGTTTTCACGCCGCACGCGCGCGCGGGCGCGTCGGCGCATTGTAGGCTGCGCCAGTAGACGAAAGCGTGAAGACCGCATGTTTAGTTGGCAGACAAATCGGCAAGCGCTGCGGCTTCACTTGAGTGCGCAGGCCAGCATGGCGACTTTCTGATTGAGGGCCGCCGCGCGCGCGGCGACCCACGCGCATCTTGCGCGGAAACGACCGCGCGCGAGGCGCCAGAGCCGCTGGGCGCGCCGCCCCCTCGCATCTTGTCTAGGGAAACAACGCGCGAGGGCCACGGGCCCCCGCGCGCGCGGGGGCCCGCGCGCATCTCGCATGAAGACAAATGCGCGAGGCGCCGAGGGCCTCCGCGCGAGCGATGGCCCGCGCGAGCGTTGCGTGGCCATCGCAAGGTGCGCGAGGGGCCAAGGGCAGCCGCGCGCGCGTTTGCCCACGCGCGCCTTGCATGGAAAAGCACAATGCGCGAGGGGACTGGGCCGCCGCGCGAGCGATGGCCCACGCGCACCTTGCGCGAAAACAAAAAAACGCGCGAGCGTGCCGAGGGCCGCCGCGCGCGCGGCGGCCTACGCGGATCTCGCACGGAAACGCACCATGCGCGAGGGGCCAGGGCCGCCGCGAAAGCGATGGCCTGCGCGCGCGCCCTGGATAGAAAACGCACTATGCACGAGTGAGCCATGGGCCGCCGCGCGCGCGGCGGCCCACGTGCATCTTGCAACGAAGCGGACAGCGCGCGAGGGGCCAGGGCTGCCGCGCGCGCGACGGCCCACGCGCATCTCGCATGGAAAAACTGCGCGAGGGGCCTCGGCCGCCGGGCGCGCGGCTGCCCACGTGCATCTGGCATGGGAAGACAATCTGCGCGAGGTGCCAGGGCCGCCAAGCGCGCGGCAGCCCACGCGCGTCCTACATGGGAAAAACAAAAAACACCGAGGAGGGCCATGGCCCGCCGCGCGCGAGCGGCGGCGCACGCGCATCTTGCATTGAATAGCGCAATGCGCGAGAGCCCATGGGCCGCCGCGCGCGCGGCTGCCCGCGCGCATCTTGCATGGCAAACGCAAGATGCGCGATTGGCAATGGGCCGCCGCGCGCGCGGCGGCCCACGCGCATCTTGCATGGAACAAGCACAACGCGCGAATCGCTATGGGCCGTCGCGCGCGCGGCGGCGCACGCGCATCTTGCATTGAAAAAACACAATGCGCGATTGGCAATGGGCTGTCGCGCACGCAACGCGGCCTGCGCGCACCCTGCATAGCAAAAAAATGCGCGAGGGGCCTGAGCTGCCGTGCGCGCGGCAGCCCGCGCGCATCTTGCATTGGGGCTCACAATGCGCGAGGGGCCATGGGCCGACGTGCGCGCGGCGGCTCGCGCGCACCTTGCATGGGGGACCACATTGCGCGAGGTGTCAGGGTTGCCGCGGACGCCGCGGCCCGCGCGCATCTTACACAGGGAAACGCAATGCGCGAGGGGACTGGGCCGCCGCGCGCGCGGCGGCCCACCCGCATCCCACGTGGACAAGCAGAACGCAGGAGGGGCCATGGCCCGCCGTCCGCGAGCGGCGGCCCACGCGCATCTTGCGCGGAAAAAAGAAAACAACGCGCGAACGGCAATGGGCCGCCGCGCGCCCGGCGGCCCATGCGCACCTTGCACGGAAAAACCACAGCGCGCGAGGCGCCAAGGGCCGCCGCGCGTGCGGCGGCCCACCCGTACCTTGCATGGAAGAACAGAATGCGTCAAGGGCCATGGGCTGCCGCGCGCGCGCGCGGCAGCCCGCGCGCATCTTGAATTGAAGAAGCACAATGCGCGCGGGGCCAGGGCCCGCCGCGCGCGCGGCGGCCCGCGCGCATTTCA